ATAAGCTGCTGAAATCTCATGTCAGTTCGGGCAGCGTAAATATGGTGACTTTGACAAAACATGAACTTAAATTCACACTAGCATGCAATGCTTCCATTGAGGAACTGACTGTGTGCAAAGACGGTTAAATCGGATTACTTTAGCGCTGTCCAGCAATTTGCTGGCTAGTTGCAGGATTCGTTTTCATTACAGGAATCGATATGAGAATAACTCAAAAGACCGACTTTCTATAAACGTCGGCATAGATGGTTGAAATATTTATTTATATGATCTTATAAACTGGTCTTATTTAGCTGATGCGAGGTTGGTATAGGTTTTCGTTGTCGTTGTTGTTGTTGCTGCTGTTGTTCTTGTTGGTCGATGGCTGACGTTTCGGCGATTTCGCCTTCCTCAGAGCCTGGACGTGTTTTATACAAGAATATTTTAATTGTTCGTTGGAAAAAAACCAAAGCACTAATCAAGATCAAACTTTTAAATATACGCCATATTCGTAGGAAATGCTGAGATATCTGCAAAACTCCGGACCACAGGTGCATGCAATGGAGAACGAACACGCGCTGTTGTCCTTACCGGGGAGCAGCGCACTTCGCCACTACACCATCCGGGTCCACCGGTTTGCGTGTATCTCAGCTAGTTCTATCGATCTTTTTTGCCATCAGCAATCACCCGTCAACGGGGTTGATCTAGGGAGCCAATATCGGCATTGAACCCAGTTAAGCTGAGGCTTAGTTATAATCACAATCTTAACTCTTTTATTTACTGCCTTTTTCCTCTTAATGGCAGGTTATGTTGCGAAATATAACTCGTATGAAATGCTGAGATACGCCATATTGATCAGAAAGGCTACTCACCGTGATGTTACGAGCCGGACTGGCCCACGCCTTGTTCACGTCAGATCGCGAAGAAGGCACACCTAGGAATCATCAAAATATCATTTTGAAATAGAGGCCAGGTCACATGATAGGCATTCGTCTAGCGCAGGAATCAAAAACATCAACGCGCAAAACTCTTGACGCGTTTTGGATAAATTTCAAAACTCCAAAGATGAACAGAAAAGACGAATGCCTCACTATCACATGTGACCTGGTGTCCTTTTTCAAAATGATATTTCGACCCCTAGATGCGTCTTGCTCGCGACCTCACGTGAAAAACGCCTGGGTCAGTCTGACTCGTAACATCACGGTGAGTAGCCTTTCCGATCAATATGGCGTATACTTGAAAGTTCGATCTTCATTAACGCTTTAGCCTTTTTTCCACCGAATAATTAAAATATTCTTGCATAAAATACGTCCAGGCTCTGAGGAAGGAGAAATCGCCGAAGCGTCAGCCATCGACCAACGAGAAAAACAGCAACAAGAACGACAACGACAACGAAAACCTATACCAACCTCGCATCAGCTAAAGATCAGTTTATAAGATCATATAAATAGATATGAGAATACTTAGATGCTTGGACTGTCCGTCTTGAGCAGTTGCGTGGATCCCACCACATTTGCTAATCGCTTCTTTCCCTGGCAGTCGTCCAAGGTGGTGGTTTTATTCGAGTATGGTGGCGTTTGGTAGTCTCATACTGTGATCTGTAAAACAACTGCAACTGCGAATACAGCTGATTAACTTTGGTTACGAACACGCCCGCACAACGTGTAGCTGGCCGTCGTATGGGACGCCTGTATTCTGGTGGAGTCCACGCTACGATTCTTTTCGTCCATCTGTCGTCCGTTCTTCTCATTAGGTGATAGGCTCATCTGTGTTTCGCTGCCGATGAGTAATCTCTTGGATTCCGAAGATGTGACAAATTTCGAAGACCAGAGCTTCGTATTTCGGCTAGATATTGAGAGTGACGGTTATATTTCAGAATACATCGCTCAAGCGCTCTGTAAGTACTGCGGAGTACTCTTGCATGGATTAAGTATCAGTCCACGTCTCTGCAGCATAACAGAGCCCTAGGAGGACTGCTGAATCGAAGAGGTGAGCGCGGATTTCCGGGTCCTACATTTGGTCCGTGGCTTCCTTCAGAGGCCCAAACTCGGTCCAAGTTGCTCTCCTTCTTCCGTCTAGTTCCTCCTTCATGTTGTTTTTCATGTTCATTGGTCACCAACGGTATGCATACGTGTTCTCTGCAATCAGAGAGCCATCTACTTCTATGTTTTCTCCTTCGCACCATGAGTTTTTCAGAACTGGGTCTTCTTCCCAGTTATGCATACTTTGAGCTCGTTGATCATCGTCTCTGCCTTGCTCGTACTTCTTGAGAAAATGAAGATGTCATCAGCGAAACGGTTTGATAGGGGAATAGTCCATCAATACGTATGCCTTTCTCATCTCAATCGAGTGACTTCATTATCCACTGCAGTGCGGCACTGAACAGCTTTGGCGATATTGCGTCGCCTTGTCGAACCCTCTTCCCTATGGTTATGGTAAGAGGTCGATGGAAAAGCTGTATTGTCGTACTGCAGCTCCGATAACAGTCACACAGGGTTCATACGTAGGAAGGGTCCACTCCTTGGTCGACGAGCGCTGATAGGACTGCATTCGTTTCGACACTGTCAAATGCTTTTTCATAGTCGACAAAGGATAATATTGGGGTTAAGTGGTATTGGCGAGGAACTTCAATGACTCTGGACACAGTTTGGATGTGGTTCATGCAGCAAAATCTTTATCGAAATCCTGGTTGCTCCATTGGTTGTTCCTCATCCCATGTCCTTGATATGTGCGATAGGATAATGCTCGTGAAGGTATTGTAAAGAACACTCAACAAGCACATCAAGCGATAGTTACGAACCTTTGGTTACCTTTTTCGGGCAGGGTGACCACGCATATCGCCTTCCGCTGTCATAGGATTTTTTCCTTTGGAGGTAAGCTGTCATATGGTTTGCGAGAAGTACATGTAAGTTGTGGCTTCCAGCTCTAAGGAAGTCGGCTGTGATATCATCCGGTCCAGGAGCTGTGCCTTTTTCATGCTTTATGTTGAAACTTGAACCTCCGAGAGAATTCCGGGCTCTTTTTCTCCAGCGGGTGAGGGTCCGGGATGGCGATTGTAAAGTCGGAAAGGTTGGTGTACAGCGTCTCCGTTATTGATTCAATATCACGGCGGGGAGTTTTATTGATCCTATTCCCATTCACCAGGGTTGACAGCTGAACATTGAAACCACACAAGCCATGACAACATTTTTTCAGACTGCTTCTTTTCTTTGCTGCTTTCAGTAGTTTCTTCTGTTTATATCGATGTAGACTTTCCTGCAAAACTCTTTTGCAGCTGGCATTTGTTATTAGCCATGTTAAACGTGTTGCAGTAGGATCACGCCTGTTTCCTTCGCTTCTCGAGCAACTCCTTAAACCACTTAGTGGTAGTAGAGGTGTGGTCCCATCTTCTAGTTCGAGGAACTGAGGCGAATTCGGCACAACTTTTAACTCCTTCGACAGTCAGCTCGTACTCTTCGGTGGGGTCTTCCTTAATCTGCCATTCACGTTTGGATTTTGTTCAGAATGTTCTCGTCATATACAGCTTGACTTTTTCCTCGTGGTTGATGACACAAATTTCTTTCCAGCTTATGGCTAAATCGAATCTTCGCGCAAAGAAGGCGGTGATCGGAACCAGTACAGAATAACGGGACTACCGATGTGTCAAGTAGGCACCATCTTCTGTTTGTCAGAATTTTGTCGATCTCCGCGTGAGCCATGTCGTTTCGAGACTCCCATGTCCATTGGCGACTTCTTTTTTCTGGAAAAACGAGTTTTCATGGACATGGTGCTGCGGACAGGAGTCTTGACGGTTCCCATTCTCCTTCCTTTCTCATAATCCAAAATTTCCAACCCTTTATTCGTTCTCGTTGGCCTTTCGTATTACACCTCGTTCACCTGAACGACAGGTCAATCAGTGCCACCAAAAGCGCAATCAACAGGATGGTATGAGTATTCAATGTCACGCAAGTGTGAAAGGAATCCAAATTTCTGAACTATATTGGTGAGTAAGCATTAGACATTGTCAAACATGTCTGAGTGAAGAGAATGGTGGATTGAACACCTGATGCGCCTTTACAATAACCAGTGGACAAAAGTCATGGACAAAAACACATCAATCCCTTTACCCTTCATAGTACAGTTATAACTCAGTTGTAGAAAAAACAGCACAACGAATACCCTCATAAAAAATTTCGCGTGAGAACTGAAAAAGTTCACTCTACTTTCGCATTTATTTCTTGGAAGTTAGTATTTACGAAGAAAACCATGTACAATAAAAAACGGAGGTGACTACGGGTAACTGAAAACACCACAAAAGCGACAAAAGCTGTCATGTATGTGCTTAAGAGCAAAACAATTAATGGAGCACATTCCAAGAAATTTGGTGCCAACAAGATGATGCACTATTTGAAATTCCACAATAATTATAGAGGAGGAAAAAGTTTAGAAGATGTCTGGTAAATACATACAGCAGTTTATAGAGCACCTTGAGAATAAGTTACATTTATGCTTCGACCATTCTAGGAAAATACCAATGGTTGAGCAATAGCAAGCCAATTTACCCTTGGTTAATGAGTAAATGCAACAATTTACTGTTCCCGATAACGAATTCAATCGATATTTTCTTCTGTTTGCTGATTAACAGTAAGTGGTTATTAAGACAAATGACGAATTCTAAACGTCTGGTATAGCGGCAGAAATGTGGGACGAAACCGAAAAAAATCACACACAATTCTTCTTCTGTCAAAGTTGGGCAGGGGAACAAAGTGCTCTAAGTCTAAAGACAACCCGCAGCTATTATTGATCAAAAACCAAGAAGTCATATTTACAAAGAATCAGTAATAAGCCGTCAACGAATTCACAAATACAGCATTTCAGTAGGAACGACAGACAAACTATGCCTCTATGCTAAAAGCTCAACCTAAAATTTTAATGGAGTGATCCCTTTCGGCACTACCAACCACCATTAGAATCCATCCTTTGGAAGCCCTTTGCATTTAACATATCCATGGTTTTTTTCTTCGGTCGTAATAAAAGATTCATCACGGAACATCCGTTGCACAATCCTGACCATTCCACCTATTCACTGAAGGATTGCAAGCAGTACAAACAAAGTCCACAATAGGAGCGTTTCCATCAGCTGATAAGCAAGCCTGAGAAAGCTTCATGCCACATATTGGACAAAAGCGGAAGAGATTCAGAAGTTTTCTGCCTTTAACAAGGAAGAAGTCATCTAGTAGCGAACTCTCTGTTTTCCACAGTCTGACTGTGTACAACTCCAAGTCGTTTTCGTTTGATTCCATCGTCACATCGGATGTATTGGCTTCTGATATCTGGAGACTGTCATCATTCCTAGTAGTGAATTCGTCAGCAGCCTGACATGAGATGTATTTTAAAAGGAGCCACTGGTTAAAGAAACAGTACCTCTAACTCCTCTTTTACACGTTCTCGAAGTATCGAAATATCTGAATCCATTAGTTTCCAAGCAATCATATCCTTGAACTTGGAAAGACATTCTTTATAGAAATTTTTTATGTCGTCAGTGTTTAGCTTCACGTGCTCCTAGAAGATCAAAGGATAAAGTGTTCGACACTGATCAATCATTTAAAATAAGAAGGATAAAGCTTTCGGCCCTGATCAATCCCTGAGGGAGCCGCTATGCATTCGACTTCACTAAGCATCGTTTGGAGGTGATTGGATGCGCATCTGGCCTTTACAATGACTCGCAACGGCCTACCAATATATCAAACCAGCGCTACAATCTTCCCAAACAAGTCTGATACCAATTAACAGACCCCGGAGGGATGGAAGGCTTGGTGGGCCATGGGCGCGGAGATCGATTCTACGTGTGTTTTGCAGGGCGCCTCCGACCACTGCACCACAGGTACCCTGATCAATCTCATATAAACAACAAATATACAAATACTAAGCAAACGTGACAAGTTGCTCTTACATCAATCCTCATCACATAGCATGCCAATTCGGCCAGTACCTCTTCTAACACGTACGATGGTACACCACCAAATCCAAAAGATATATCTCCACCATATCTTCTCCGGACCAGACTACCGAGGAACGAACCCTAAATCAAAGTGGATTTCATACAAAACCATTTCTTCTGGCTTTTTTCTTTATACGACCCATCTTGATGTTTACCGTCCAGACCCGAGCACTTCTCCCAGTTGATTCGTTTCCTTGTACCCATCATCCATGAAGGTCTTCCAAATTTTTTGCACGAGACTTCGGCTGCTGCTTGACGATTTTCATTTCATCCCGAATACCGCAGAATGCTGGACGAGTCGATTCTCTATGATGTGCTGAGAGAGCCAGCCTATAGCGTTCCCTACTGAATTGCAGAGAATGATTTACTCCCGGACAATTCCGGTACCTGTTTCCTATCCGCAGAAGGATGAACGGCTTGGTGAGCCTTGGGCAGGATTGAACTAGCACCGTGCTCGTGATGATCGGCATCACTACCACTGTGCTATCCGCCCCTATAAGAAACATATTGAAGTTCATAAAACAGTACTCCTTACCGCCTCAATATAATGCTCCTTGCAGAATCGTTTTCTGCACTGTAATGTCCTCGAGTAAACCGTCACGGCCCATTCCATGCCGATAGTACGACGATTTACAAGACAAGACAGCAGCAGTACGTTGCACTTCGGAAGTTTGGAGGACCAGCGCACCGCCAGAGTGGACCGAAGCACATGGCAAACAGCGCAAGTATTGTTTCTTTTTCGCATTTCCTGAAAATGATAACGGTAAGAGACGGAAGGTCCTTTACAGATCGGAAGAAGATTTCAAACTAGACAATGACGACGGTTTCATCAGCAAACAATTCCTAGAGGTATTTTAGCAGATTGAAGTTTTGCACTTTCCTAGGAAAGGATTACTAAGCACAGGACGAAGTTGGGTTACAGAGGAACATTAATCCACGAAGAATACAAACACAAACGGTGAATACTGGGTTCCGTATGGTGTACTGGTTAATAAGACTTACCTACTTGGATACTTGGATGGCCCATCCTTACTGGTTGTGTGGGTCCCAACATAATTTGCATTTTTCGGAGTTTTGCTGGCTTAGCCATTGTGGTTCCCTGGAATCCCTAGGTCAGCCTGGACAAAGTCTGCCTCAGGTCGTCACCACCATAGGTAGTTGCAGCCCTCGTGGATCACTGGGAGATTTGCCAACACGCGATTACTTTAATACCAAAACGGTGGTGTATCTTGGCATTGGTTTACTCTTAGCTGGGCTTTCTGATGGAAACGCTGGACTCATTGTCAGCTGGGAGGCCCTGCTGGGGGCATGAATCCCTCTGCTGTACATCGCAGCCCGACAAACCAGTTCATGAAACAACCAATGTAAAGAAGTAGTGCCCTATTGGCAAAGCAACGTTGAGACTATCGGAATCCGACTTTTACTTTAGTCGTGAATAATGTGAGCAAGAAAATCTAGTGTAGAACCATACAACGATACACAAATAGCAGTACAAGAGAGCATGCAAGTTATACTTTATAAAGTTAGTATCTATAGAGACTTTAAAATGAAAGCGAAGATGAAGCCCGTTAGCAAGTATTCTCTGCTCTGTTCCTACTTTCTGCACGTCTTTTCCAGGAAAATTCCGGAGAAAACTAAGCAGAATATGTACAGGAGAGTGTTTACTACAAGAAAAAGAAACATGTGTTCAAATCCTAGACATAGCCAGTCTCAAGAAGAATCTCCTACAATCTCCAGATGTTCGTTATACTCAGGAAGTGCGTAAACCATTACTCGAAGCGTAGACCTAAAGCTTTTCTAGAAACAAGGACTTAACGCTTTTCTCGATGCGAGACAGAAAGCTCGCCTACAAGCGAAGACTGAAAGCTTTACTCCTAAAGCTTTCCCAAGAGCAAAGACAACGTTTTTCTCTAGGCGAGACTTAAAGCTCTTTTAGAAGCGAAGACTTAGAGCTTTTCTAGAAGCAAAGATCTAGTATTTTTCTCGAAGCAATGACTTAAAGCCTCTCTAGAAGCTCGGACTATTTGTATCCATTTCGTAAGCAGTTAGCACGCTAATGCTTTAAGTATCTTTATAAATAGAGATATATTCTTAACGAAAATCAACAACCAAGCGGGTCTAAGCTGTAGTCGACCTGATTCCATATCCAAGATAGGGCATCCAGCCAAATAGCGGACCCCGTAATAGTGCAAATTGGCGTCGAGCTATTGGGTCAAGTTCGCTTGCCAGTGGGTCACGGCCTGCCACGGGTTGCGTTTTTTCCGGGACACCGTCGCCGCCCCTTGCGCAACCATGTCACGCATCGTTCTGGATGTTGTGGATATCCCATCAACATGATTTAGGTTTCATCGTTTAACTATTTCTTGACCGTTTCTTACTTTGATGTTGCTATGGTGAATTATAGTTGTTCTGTAGAATTGATGGTTGTATGAAGTAAATAAAAGCGCTGAAATATGCTTCGTATATCTTAATGGTCTCGACCGTAGCTATCTTGCATGCAGCTTATATAGCTCTCGGTTGTAAGTGATATAACTTGGGCTCATCACTCGGATCAGAGGCACTCTGAAGAAGTCGAAGGCGCCCAGTCGTTAGCCGAGTAGAGGTGCTTATACCAACCTCGTGTTGGCTCATCATGGAGAAAACTGTGCTTCATATTTTTGATGAAACCGAGTCCTAAAGGTTGACAGTAATGTAATTCGATGGTGGTCTGTTGTAAATAGGAGTTAAATAAGCTTCAAAACATTGGTCATGTATGTTTTTTCTGTCATTCAGCGTAGGAGGTCTAGAAAAGGATACAGGTGCCCCAGAGTTAAAATTCTCACCCAGCCATTAGTTCGATGAATTTGTATGGAATCCGCTCATTTCCTAAAGGTCAGTACAAAGCTTCAGTAGTCGTGTATTATGTTTTAGAACAAAAATGTCTCGGTTGCCAAACATTGTCGTTGTTTCGTGATCACAGTTTTATGTTGCAGTATTAACTTAACGTACCTGGTAAGTTAATGAGAGAGTGAATTTACAGAAATGTTAGAAAAGAGAGGGATAAAGCTCTCGGCATTGATCAATCCCTGAGGGATGGGCCACACATTGGACTTCTTAAGCATCGTTGATGGTGATTGAATGCACATGTGGGCTTTACAATGACTTGTGGTGGCCTATAGATGTGTCGAGCCAGTGCTGCTATCCTCCCAAACGGGTCTGGTACCAATTAGCCGACCCTGGCGAGATGGAAAGGTTGCTGAGCCTGGTGCGCGGGGATCGATCCCATGTTTATTGCAGAGCGCTTCTGACCATTGCGCTACATGGAAAATTACACCTTAACTGCGCTATCTTTCTTTTCTTGACTTCAGATGTACTTCTATGTGGAAGTTACATGACGTGCTTACGTTCAGCGCAAGAAGTATGTAGGAAACTATTTTGAATTGGGCTTTGTCGGTGTCAGGTGAGTGGGATAATGAGAGTACGAGTATGACAACATTTTTTCGTTGCGTTGTTCTCCTTTTACTGAACTGATACCCATCCTTTATGAACTCCTACCTAATTCTCTTTGGAATTCGTGTGGCACGTGGTCATCAAGTGGTGTACATAACATATTACTTTTACTAGAAGCTCATTACTGGTGTTAGGTCCTCGAAACCTTCCTTGTACAGTGTAATTCGCACCCCATTTTAATTTGATTTTTGGATGGTTTGTTTTCACTGGTTTTGAGGCCCCACCTTAACTCCCATCTTTTCGGAGTTTTGCTGGTTTAGCCATTGTGTCTTTCTGGAGCCTCTAGGTCAGCCTAGCGAAAGTCTTCCCCAGCTAGTCACTACCACAGGCTTTCGCATCCCTTGTGGCTCAGGAGTTTTGCCACCGTGCGACTAGTTTGATATCGGAACGGTGGTGCCTCTTGGTATTAGTTTACCCTTAGCTGAGTTTCCTTATTGAAACGTCGGACTTCTCAGCTTGGGAGACCCTGCCGAGGTGGAGTCTCCCGCTGTACGTCGGAACCCCGGAACACTCGCAGTCACGATAAAGAAACCGTTGGGAGGTGCACGCCATCTGTGTTCTTTAAATAGAAATGACCTGTAATACCATCATTTAGATAGGCTTTTCTAAACTAGGACTCATCACATCGTACTTTCCTCATATTCTTACCAAATGATTCTCTTTTTTGAATCAGTAAGGTGCTACTGTTTTGGAATCAGTTTGAGATCTCGTCTGTATCCTCAGTTCTCTTTCTTTTCTTCGTTTTGTTTTTTTCAACTTTTGTCAGTCGGATGGACCACAGGATATTTCAGAGGGCAAAGTTCGTGGTGTGTTATGACAATGTTGATAGCTTGCGATAGGATGCGTACGGGGCCACACTGACGCTACCAATTTTAAGGTCATTGAAGATTTTTGCGAGTGTTTTTTTTACCATAATATGTTACCTGGAGGTATCCTTACCTCAAGGGCCATCGATTTTAGTCATGTACATAACTTTATATATACCTAAGTTTCGCTTTCCAGC